TGGGGAGACAGGCAAAGCCAGCCGAGACAGAGCCCACGTCAGCGTCTGGGGACCCTGCTCACCCCACAGAACGAGCTCTGCAACACGGGAAACTCTGGCCAGACCCGACCCGAGGAGCAGAACAAGCACGTGCGCACGGTGCCAGGCTGGAGCGAAGTGCCTTGCCAGCACCCGGAGCCAGTGCAGGTACCGCAGCATCCCTGGCTGGGTTCATCTGCAGCTCAGGCAGGCTGCCCACAGGTAATGGGGGATTGAGCACGCTGACACATGCTGTCCAACCCACCTTCACCTCGAGACGGTGGGGTTTTCTGCATTAAAAGCAGAAAAATTGAGCTCATGGAACCATGTAGCTTCCTGAAGTCCCCATTTCAAATTCAACTTGTGTTTTACAAAATGCTTCTGAATTGGATGAGGGACAGGGAGGGGAAAATATCCAAATGAATTACGCTAACTTTGCCTCATTACAACCGTAACTTTATAAATGCACAGATACCCACATTGGGAAAAAAGAAAAAAAAACAGAAAGGAAAAAAAACAGAGAGAGGAGATGCAACATTGATCCCATGTGTCTGAGCCATCAGTGTATATTCATACAAGATCAATACATTTCATTCTGTTAGGCAGATGAATTTCCTCACCCTTCTGTTGACCTGCCCTACCGTTCATCTCCAAAAGACTGCAGATCTCCGTGCTCACAGCATCGGGCCTGGAGATGCTGGGAACACCAGACCTGCTTCTGCCTCTGAGGCACACAGGTGCTCTGGGAAGTTCTGCACAGAAAACTTCATCACTTTACCTATTTCTGTCATCATAATACTGTAAAAAGTCAGTCTTTTATTGGGCTTCCTGGCAAGATTAGAAAAAAAAAAAAAAAGACACGCTAGTTATTAAATCCTTTTACTATCAGGGATCGAATTATTTCAAGAGACAGCAGTGCTGTGAGGAAAGGGCATGCAAAAGAATTGAGCAAATTGGGCAAATATCCTATTGCAAACCAGCGTTTACTCATGGGGGGAAAATAAACAACAGATTTTGAACTGTCAGCATAAAGCTCCAGAGGCCCCTGGAGAGATCTGCGCAACTGGTGAGGTCCTGAATTTGCAGAAGTGTAAAATTTTTGGCTGAGAAAACTGTGAGAATATCACTGCCCATTAGAAAAAATCCTGATATATGACGAAACTTCACATAAGCATGTTTTTTGAGGAGACCAAGTGACATTGTTCCTATGCTGATGCTTTCAGAATAGGGCACGTTAAAAAAAAGAAAAGGCAACCTGTGAGATAAATGTTGATAACTAAAAAGGTCTGGAGAGGTATGGCACATGCCAGTCAAAGTATAGAGACACTCCTCAGCCCCGTCAACAGTTTCTACTGAAGGAAGCCAAGCTTTTGGTGGACCACAAAAACGAGCCAGGAATTACCACGTATGACTGCATCCCTCAGCCTGCCGCCACCTCTGCACCAGGAGCTGCCCGAGAGGTGTTTTGTAAATACCTCGGAGGAATTGGGGGGGGAATTTGGTAATTCAAAATTCACAAAGAATTATTATGTGGAGACAATTTGGAGGACAGACTCTTCTCTTGGAAGATAAAGCTACTGGCTGGATGCCTATACTGAGCTATATTTAACACGCATGCACAACTCAAAAATCAGCATCACTGAGGAGTCAAAGACAATTGACACCAGGCAACGGAGTCTCTTTCTAACCTTTCAGAAAGGAGGTGCCAAATAATAACAATGCAAAATGAATCAAAAACTATTCAGTTTTTAAGGACCAAGACAGTACACTGAAATCAGTGCAAGGTTTCAAGGTGACGCTGCTCAGCCACAACAGAAGAGCAATCTTAACCTACATCGAGACGTTCCAAGGTATCATGCGATGACTGTCCCCAAGCCCATTACTCTCCTCACCCTTAAAGCCGATGCCCTTTGCCCCATCCCTCAGCCTCTCCAGCAGGTACGGGCTGGAGCAGAGCGCGGGTAAGGAACGGGAGGAAAAAAAACAGCAAGCCCCCCCCCGCTGGCCGAGCCAGCCCCGGCTGCGGCTGCCCCAGCGGTAGCGAGGCGACGGTGGTGGGCTGGACGACGGGGAACGGCATCGCTGGCTCCTGGTAGTGCTGGGGCCGCTGGGACACCACCGCGGGCGCAGCCTGAACCGCGGGGAGGCCAGGCTGCAGGAGGGAGAGCACTGCTTTAGAGAAGAGCAACCCTCACGGGAAGAGTCACTACAACTGTTCATCAGGAACGCAACTGCAAGTGAACAGTCTGCTTGGTTCAAAACAGAGGGGAGAAAAAGCATGAAAAGTTATCTGCAAGGAATGGAAATTATTTCATCTAAAAACATCGGCAGATTCCAAATAAGACAACCAAACTGCATTGCATTGCTCTCTGGAAGCAAGCATGCAGACCAGTAAAACCAGCGAAAGCACACACACAGAGTGACTGAGGATCTACCAACAGCAAACCCTTAACTGGGTGAAACAGAAATTCATCTTCAGAAAGATTTTTGTGATTTCATAAACAAACTTTATCTTCCAAAAAAGCAGGTAATTTACTTGAAATGGATGACAAGAAAATGAATAGAGAAATGACAAACAAATCAAAACCACAGTGGAAGTGAAAACAACAAAAAAAAAGAAAATAAATTCAGATAAGGTTTGCAACAGCAGCAGTTCTCCAGAACTTCAGCTCAAAGCAGATAAATTAAAAACAAACAGTATGTCAGACAGGCTCATAAACCTAAAAAAACCATCTACTACAGCTCCAGTTATGTGCTTGTTATCTTGGTAAATAATCTCCCAGATAAATACAATGATTTTATATTTTTTTCCTGGAAAATGGAAGGTTTTGACTCAGACTTTTATTTCCTGTGTTTGCTGAGATTTTCAATGCTTGGAACTTTCCACATAAGTTGTTGCAGGCAGAAAAAAAATATGGAAACCCCATCCAAAAATAAAAAGCTATGAGAAATATTTTACTCATGAATAAAGGTTATTATCTTTTCAAGCCCTCAATCATGAAAAAAGTAATGCACTTAGGGTAAAATTACTGAAACCTATCAATGGAAAGAATGAGTCTGCTCTAAAAGACTATGCTGCACAGCTCAATTTAATAATAAAAAAAATCTGCGCCAAGATGTGCCTTTGGAGTGTTATATTTAGAGCCGGGAAGGCAGTGCTTCAGGTGAACCAAGAGGAAGGACGCATCCCAGCAGCCGTGCACACGTAGGAAAGGTGGTTTCCACAGCGGAGGGACCTGGCTACGGATGCCAAGGCTGAATTATTTTCCTTCACATAATCAGAGTCAGGTTTCAAAACATTCACAAAATACAGTTCATAACTTCTTGCAGGCATTCTGGAAAATGTAAGGTAAAACCAGGGAAAATGATGCACTTCCCATGTATGTAGGGTAAATCTGGATCAAGCAGGAAAACACCATTGGTCCTGGATTTTATTTTTCCTTAAGTCAAATAGGACGAAACAAAAAAAATTAACCTACCACATCATTACTGTCATTTTTACTAGGCAGGTTGCTTCCACTGCTTGGGGCAGCTGCAGCCACTGATGTGCTCTGCGCCAGCGGTGTTTTGCCAGCACAAACCTTCCAACAGGGCTGGGGCTGTCCAGGCACACCGGCTTCTCCGCCGGAGGAGGATGCAGAAGGTTTCCTGCAACTCTTGCAGATCTCACAGGAGAAGAACCGGTCTTTTGGCTAATTTCATATTGTAAAGATTCACATAACAGGGGCAGGTCTAAACTTCTGCCACATGGCCCGCTGATCTGGGGACGTGGTTGAGACACCAAGTTCTCTGGGAGTTGGCTACCTGGAAAGCGAGCTCTTTCAACAGGCATCGAGACTTCTGACACGGTTTGATCTTGGCCAGACTGAAAAGAACAGGGTAGGCATGTCTGAGGAGGCTGCCGAGAAGCTATCAGCTCCATAGCGTGCACAGAGGTCCCTGGTGCCACCAGAGGCGATGCGCCTGCTTCCTCTTCGCTGGTCTGCAGATACAAGTTCTCCTCTCCCGGTCCTTGGGTTGCATCTAGAGTCAAAGCCACGATGGGGTCGCTGTGGCAGCGAAAAGTGGTGCGAGCACTGCCTGCCGTGTGTAACAGGCGCAGGCTGGAACTGGAGCACGGTGCTGCCACAGCTTCTGAAGGACACGACGTGCTCGTGGTGTGCCTCGCCCTGGAAGCGCCTGAAGATTTATGTTCACTCGCATGTGTTTGTTCTTGCACCACTAGTTCCATTAATTGCTTTTGGTCAAGGTCATAACGGCATGAAAATGGGAGCAAGCATGAACGTCTGACTGGGCTACCAGCACCTGGTTTTGGAGCCTCAGTAATGGCCGTACGTCACCGTCTCTGTGCAAGATCAAATCCGAACCCAGAAAGGCAGTGACTGGATGTTTGACCTTTGTCACAACTGGAAGAAACATCAGACCCAAGAGGCTCTTGAACAAATGAAGGAACAATAATGTGTGGCTATGCTGACAGTGAGCAAAACCCAACAAAGCAGTTCGCAAATATGTGCATGAGTTTAAAATTAATCATTGCAAAGCTACTAATGTAGTTCACAGCAACAATGGATTGGTGATAAGCTTTTTTATGGAAACTATGACAGCTGCCAGCGAAGCATTTCTTCAGAATGGCAAATCTAGCTAGACATACAGCATCTACTAGGCGCACATTTCAGATCAACTGGAAGGTATTACACTAAGCAAGTCACCATCAGCAGGGCTGAGTGAGGAATATATAAAGCAAGCCCTGGAATCTGCGCCTCCTGAAAACAAGAGTATAAACGAGCCATTAAGCATGATCTAGGATACAAAACTATTTCAAAAAGGTTTGGACTTACTCCGGAGGGCTGCTGGTAGTGCCCCAGCTGCTGAAGGCTATGGGGCACAGCCTGGCTCTCGCTCAGAGGGGGGCTGTACACCCGTTGGATAGCCGGAGGTGCCGGGTCTGGCAGAGACGAGTAGATGACGCTTTGCTGGCTGCTTTGGGAGTCTGAATAAACAGTGGACCCCTGGCCACTGTCAAATGTGCTGTCAGCTGAAAGAACAGTATTTTTTATTAAAAGCTCAACAATTCCAAACATTCAAGTAATGATTTTTAGAGCAAGGTCAACACTAGTTTACGTAATTAGCATTTTTACTACCCTAGCCCTTTCCGTTATATAAATAAATTATACAACACAAATGTTATTTTCTACTAAAGGCACATACTGCTTCTCTTAAGCCAAAAACCATCCCCGTGGATTTCTGTGCACGATGATATTTTAGGCACATTGATATTTCCTTTAAAGGGCATAAGGTTGACATTAAGAACTGCAGACGTTTATAGATTTTGCAGGATGAAAGGAAAGGAAACCCCAACTGTAATATTCGTAGCAGATCATGGGCTCTTTTGGAGTTAGATCTCCCTGGGATGCACTGGCTTTAACACCTTTTTTTATTAGTAGCACTGAAAATTACAAAATTCTTTCTACTGTACGCTTTACTAGTTCAGCAAATCATACCCTACTTGAGTATATAGCCATACCTCAAGACAAAGAACAGATAACAAAATAATTTGCAGGTTTGCAGTGATTTAGGAGTACAATTCAGAGCTCTGTCAGAGTTTCTCATGCAGAGTGTTTGCCCAGCTAACCTGCAGAACTACACGGTTATGGGTACTGGGCAAGCATCGTATCTTTTGTCCAACGGAAATAAATCTTTTAACCATACCATTGAGTATTACTGATTTTATAATGTCATTTCATCATTTTTGAAGCCTGTAAAGTACAGGTGCCCAGTTCCTCTTTAGCATAAGCTACTGTTTTCTTTGTTTGAGAAATGTAATGAAACAATCAAGACCACAGCTACAAGTATCCAAAAGACAAATAGCTTGTAACAGAGATTTAAAACTCAAAACTAAAAGAAAACTAACACAGTTACAAAAAATGGCTTGAATTACAGCTAAGTTTAAACGCTATTTCTTTTTCTGACACTTCCTATGTTCTCTGTTCTTCCATATTATAAATAAGGTTTTACTTATTTAGCTTTTAAATGAAAAAATATTTTTCAATAGCAGAGATGACATTTTTCCTCAGTATTCACAAACTATTCTCCCAACTGTTTGTTGGTGGGGTTTTTTGGGGTTTTTTTTTGTGGGTTCCCCCCCAAAAAAAATTAAACTCTCCTCTATTTATTCAACTCATTTCTAAAAAGATTCAACATGGCCCTACTCTAAGGCAGCAGGGATTTCTGCCGCATACACACTTCCATTTTATTACAAACAATTATTCAAGACCTCAAAGGAAAAAAAAAAGTGTATGATGGTAGAGTGCTGAAGTAAAAGCTGTGAGTCAGTGTCAGATTTTTATAGAACAATTTGCATTTGCACACATGAAGTTATTAATTTACATTTTTACATTTGACCTCAGATTATTATATGAATTGGTAGAATATAGAGGTCTTAGGCCTCACATCATCAAGAAAACGTTCAAAGACATCTGACTGAATTGTTGAGGAGGAGTAGGAAATAAACTGGGGGGGTTTATATTTAGTACAAGATTCTGCCAACTCATGTCCAACAGAACCATGGGAGGCACAAGTAGCCTCATTGTACCATTGGAAACAAAAAGAGTCATAATTATGGTGTTTCTCAAAGGAATTAGATAGCATGAAATAAGTGCATGATGCAAAAAAATGAAATGAGATCAATTTAGCTTCAGAAAAAAAGCTTTGTGAATCCTGCAATATTCTGAGAGTTATGCAAATATAGTCATTTCTCATATCTTGTTAAAGGTTTGTTTTCTTGTAGAGGGATGCTTGGTTATTTTCGTATTCAAAGCAGACCTCTGTATAGCAATTTATACAATACCTGAATTAAAGCAGCAGCTGTCTCTTTGCTAAAGATAATGCATCTTTAATTTAAATATGGTTACATAAAAGTCCAGAACAATAAAACAAACATTATGATAATAGTTTAGTAGCAAAATACGTACATCAGATTTTACCAGAAAAACTGGATAGAAAATAACTCTCATAAAATTTCAATTCTTCCAAGCTAAAAATATGTGGCAACGTTTCCTTCAAGATGTTTAAAAGTATATATAAATTAAGATTTCAATACCAGAGCTTGACTTGGTAGAAGAGGTTGATTTTAGGGGACAGAGACAGGAACAAGTTACTTTAGGTAAATAAAACCACTACTTCCTCATGCCGTGCTGTTTGCTGGAGCTACATCTGATGCTCAGAAATAAAAGAAAGAAACAAAAAGCTCCGCAAGCAAAGCCAGATAGTTCCTTATTCAGAGATAGACCAAAGACAGTGCTTGGAATTAAAACAGGAGCTGTAAATCCACCTGTCTTGAAATAGCCCAGTGATCACCCTTGAGCCAGCCCCCAGCTGAATGTGGAGAGTTGGCAGATCATCAGCTTGGATGAATGAGAGCAACTACCTACTCTGACCTGCCATAACAAGATCAAACCATCCCCTTGCTTCATGCCCACAAGCTCAGGACAAAACAGAGAGCCTTGAGGAACAGGGAGAGCCCTCGCATCATGATTAAGGACCTGGATAATAATTACAGCATCAACCCATCAGGTCTGGTGCTCCCAGCTTGCATGACCAAAACACAGCTGATACTTCCGACAAAACAGGGAAATCTTTAATTACATTGTGTAACCTTCAGAGATTATTTTTTTTTTCTGCTGTAGACCTTAGCACAAGTTCACAACAAACTTCACACAAGCCATCAAGAGTAACTCAGAAAACACAAGAAACTGCAGAGCTTTGGTTTGAGCAAGGTATGCTTGTGGATAAACATCTCCACATTGCCAACACCATTTGAAAAAGCCACCAAGTCACTCTGACCAGTTTGGTGCCAATTCAACTTCTGCAGGCTCTGAAATTGTGTTTCACACAAACTTGGTGTTGATCCCACCACTTGGCCCAGAAAATATGTATTTCTTGTGTCTAGCAGCAGGTCTCCTTGCTTTCCTACTGACAAATATGTTTTCTGCATTTATGGCTACGGAACAAGGAGCCATCTCTACATAATAGAGTTTTTCTTGCAACTTTTTTTCTTTCAAAACTGTTACGCATCTGTCTGAGATGCTCGTGTTCTTTGAGCTACTGTGCAAAACCACGCAGAGCAGCTCATCTCCCCCCCGAGCTCAGATCATTGTTGATTTTTACCCGAGGACATTCATTACCACATGCGTACAAAGCCAAGGCGAGACTTACACGCAACAGACGTGACGCTGGTGGGCAGGTTTTGCTGAAAGGGATGCTGGTCTGCCTCTGGCTCCTCCGACTCCGACAGGACATGGTGACCAGTGTGAGAAAGGTAGGTGACCTGGACCTGCTGTGCATGCGGCGTCTTCAACTTCTCCAGACATTCGGAGTCCCGCCGTTCCTCTGACTGCATCCTAGGCCAAATTCTCTCTCTTCTCCATAGTATTAATGCTACTCTGTCACGTATTGACTTCGCAACTATCTTGAGATCATTTTCATGAAAAAATCCAGAGTCAATCTACAGAGGAGGCACAAACTTAGCAAGATTATGTGTGTACGGATGTGTATGCACACACGCATACTACTCGAATCTCTTCCTAACAGAGAAACATCAGTTTGATGTAACCTGAATTACATATTTATTCCTCACAAGAACAGGAACTCAAAATTTGGATGGGTTTGGGTTTTTTTTTGAATAAAACTTCTATCCCAAACACAATTTAAAACAACAATATGCAATTTCTAAGATCTGAATATATATTGGGTCACTTTATTCACCAGTTAACATCCATTGAGAAGAGAGCAAGTTTAACTGCAGATAGATTTTTTTTGTTGTTTGGTTGGGTCTTTTTCGTTGTTTGGTTGGGTCTTTTTCCCCTTTGGGAAGACTAACAAAATAGTCAAAAGATGCAAAACCCACCTTTGAAAAATGCTCTTTGAACAACGCAACTGGAATAAACTGTACTATCCCTAAATCAGAATTTATTGCCTTAACCTTTCCAGTATACCCAAATTGCTGTGCTTGATATCACAGCAATTCATGAAGGAAAAGATGTTAACAGAATTTTGTCTCAAATGAACTCCTCTGAAATGGTGAAGTCAGTTCGTGCTGATTGACTTTTATAAAGAAAAAGCCTATCATTGAGTCAAATGCAGGCTGTTCACATTTGACTGAAAAGGGGACCAGGCTTTCTCAGAATTCAACTGCTCAACAGAAAATGGAAATTCATTTTTGTGCCATTTGTTTGCATAATCTCCTACAGCATAGGATATGAAATTTAGTTTAATAATGACCTACCAGAGATTTCTCTGCTCTCCCTACATTCCTAACGTGCATATTCTACAGATTTGGAAGCACTTATATGCATGGAAGAAATCTAAAGCTTTTCCTTCTTCGCTCTTGCCCAAACACAAGAGAGGTTTTACAGCTTAGATTTTTGCTGTTTAAAATGAATAGGTGCAAAGCAGCTTAAAACACAGCTGCAGATGGGTATGGGTATTTTCCACTGCCTATGCCCTCGGACCTTACTGACGTTCCTGAACCGATGATCCAGCAAACGGCAACAACAGAAGGGAGAACCACCACACAGGTCCAGAGAACCTTGTATGGTACTAACACGCTCAGCAAATTCTTCGTGACGAAGCTTAATGGGAAGGCACTGAAAACCTGCCACATTAACAGTTTTTCTAAACAATTCTTATTCCTACGTCTCTATATGGAGACCGGTTAAAGTTTAATGAAGACATGCTATTTTACAGCACCCACTGGTTGTGCAAGGTAACTTCAGGCTGCAAACCCACCAGAACGTTTCAAGTTCCTTTGCCCACACCGTTTGGACAGGCTGGGACGCCTGACTACTGAAACCCCATCCATAACCATCAATAACTCCCTGTACGCAAAAGGTCTCCTGCATTCTTCTCTTCCACAACACATAAAGCAACACAAATTGATGAAAGCACACGGCTTTGGTGTTCACAATTCACAATAAAGGCTAGAAAAAGACATTTAGGAATAAATGTCTCCCTTTGCCCCCAAAAGCCTCAAGTTCAAAAGCGTTTCATATGCAGTCACTCACATAACTGTTAACGTAATAGTAAAAGATAGGTTTTAAAATTATTCAGGAAAGAGTATAGTATCACAGTAGTTTGGGAGTGATCCTTTTAAATATACTTTTACGAGAATTATTTCCTCTTCAAAACAAAAAATCACAACTATGGGCCAAGTAACCTACAGAACTATCAAAATTCCAAATATTGCCATAAATATTCAAATGCAAAATATAACAAGAAGTAACTGTACCAGAGCAACTTTTAAATTAAATGAGTTCTGTAACAACACATTCCTCAAAAAAACATTGGATCTGCTGCAAACTAACGACAAGACGGAGAAGCCTGAATTTCTCCCACAAAATTTGGTGAAGAGTCCAAGCGTAGTAAGGCAATGTTATCAAAATGAGTGCCTCCTAAGTGGAACAGGAGTGGTGACGACAATGCCATTAAATGGGATCCCTTGGGATTTAGATTACAACAGGAACATTTCTGCAAGCACAAGAAAATTCAGACCCTTGACTCGGTGCTTGCTGATTCTATGTCTCCCTGACACAGAAAACCTAAACAACTGCAGTAAAGACATCATTAAATACGAGTTCAAGGACTGTACAGTGAAACTGGAACACAAACCAGTTCTTCTAACAAAACCCCGTAAGTTATGAAGAAACAGAGATTCACCAAGTTAAATCTAGCTGTTAAAAAATCCAAAGCTTATTCCTAACTCCGTGCAGTGGCCTTGAAACTAGTTTCCTATTTATGTTTGCTGACAGAGGGGATGACCACAGACTTTCCTCATCTAGGTTCCTCCTAAGTACCACTGACAGAAAAGATGGAAAGAAGTGTTTTGAAGAATTCAGTGCGGAATATTTTGTGATTGAACTTTGGAACTCTCCTAATTTATTTCAAGCGGCTGTCTGAAACTAAACAGATTCCAAACAAATTTAAGACATTCAACAGCTAACAGAAACTGGCAAAAGAGTTTTCAAAATATACAAGTAGAAGAGACCTCGATGGTCCCTAAGCTATTTGAAGTGCCATTTCATGCATCTGGTTTCACACTTGGTAAACAATATTTTTCAGTTATTAGTTCTTCCCTGTTTACCCCTGTCTTGCAGCATTCATTCTAAAATCCATGCAAATTGCTTAAACTAGACACCTGCAATGGGTTAAGTCAAAGTTACTTTACCAGACTCGTTCCTGCTGTCCTTTGAGATTTATGCTTTACTTTATATATATACATTTTTGTCAGGAGAAGTTTATTTTACCATTTCTTGTGCAACATCATCAGGAGTTTCCTTCTCCAGATCAAAAGTAAACTCAATGGCTCCATTATCTTTGGGTTTTCCTTTCAGTTTCTTAGGATCTTCTACCCAGAGTCTTAAGGCAATAGAGGATTTCCTACCATGGTCTTCTTCTGCAAGTTCCACTCTTACCCCAGTATCTTCAGCAAAAAAGGCATGGCTTAATAAATCTTTAATTTCATATCTGCAACGGATATAAAGAATATTCAAATATTGCAAGTCTTAAGCAATTTCAAAGAGGTTTGTGACAAGAAACTGCTGTTAAAGGCAAAAACATTTACAGTATGTTTGGTGATCCTTCGTAACAAATTTGTGTTCTTAGCAAAAAGACATAGGACATCCCGTGTCACTAAGGACTGCTGAAAAAATGACGTTTCCTATTTCACAAAGCTTCAGCAACATTCACGCATGATAAGCACATACAGAAATGCAGCTTACAGCTTTTTTCAACTCTTCTTGAGTATCTGAGCTTAGAGAACTAAAAAAGAGGTTCCCTCTGGGTCATCAGTTGAGGTCACTAAAAACAATATTTGTGAAAGTTGGGAAATACTGAATGGCAGACACACTCATCTAGGAAAGGCTAGTGTAAGATTAGGTTTCAAAGCCAAAGCTGGAAAGAAGGCACAATTTGTCTCCATATCCAGAGGCTAACGTCAAGGGAATCTGCTATAACAGCTTGTGGTGGGTGAAGCTACCATGTCACATTCGTGGTCAACCTCCACCACACTCGCTGCTCCACGTAGAACCTCCTGAACGAGGTTTTACGTCAGCTCTGCCGGAACGTGCTAGAAAACTCCAGCTCACATGTCCACAACAATGCTTTCCGACCTTATTCTTTGAAGCTGAGAGGTTGAGAGACACAACAACAGCATTTATTCAATTATTTGGATGTTGTATGGCAGGAAAGCAGGCAATCATTTATATTTGTATTTCCATTCTGCATTTTCTTCTGCACAGGGGAGACCAAGGGGCCAGAACAAAAATCCCCAGACAGCTTTGAAATCCCTGCACACACATTATTTAATACAAAACTGGGTTACTTGAAACAAACCTTTCTTCTTTATTTTTGCAAATGCACTCCCCAATTATCTCCTTAATTTCAGGATCAGTAACTTTCTCAAAGCTTGCTGGCTTTATACCCTGAAAGGACAGAGAAAAACAATTCAGTTTGAAAGAGAATTACATTGTATCTCTCAATTAAGGACATTTTTCCTATATTTTACATTCAATTCAGCCCTTGGAGTAGCTCATACTTCAAAGTTGTCAGTCTTAACACAAAATTGAATTGCAGATTTAGGGCTACCGTACTTCTAAGTTCCATTGCACTTCAAAATAAGCACACTAGTTTGTACGTGAACTCAGCCGTACACAAGGCAAATGTCCCTTTTTCTTTACTAACCTTTGCAAACCATTTTATCCTGTGGACTCTGAAGTCAACAGTCAAGAAGGAGCCAAATTTAAATTTTCAAAATAACTCTTTTCTGAAATTATTCCTTTTATGTTTTTTGCCTTAACTCTCAAAACACTAAGTGAATAAAGACAAATTACCGTGGTTTTCTTCAGATAGCCAGTTTCAAGAATGAGTCAAAAATACCTTGGAATATTCCATATTCCTGTTTCCCAAAAATCTTTTGCTTTTCTGTGTCCCCATTCTCCAACACCTCCACCACTGCCAAAAAAAACCCCAATACCAAGCAAGGGAGCAGAGGAATATGCCCAACAGCTCAGTGATGTTCTTGCACATTGTTAGAATCTCATTGGGAATGAGTGACAGAGCAGGTGTAACCTATAAATCAACCAGTAAATCAAGTTGAATCTCTGTCAAACATTAACATTTTTGCTGGGAATAGTGTTCAGTCCTAGATTTGGAACAGCTAACCTTGAACACGGCCTTTCACGGAGAAAACCCAACTGTTCATTGCAGAAGAAAACTCAGAGAAGCGGAATCCACTTCTCCACGTAGGGAGCTCTGGCTCAGTGGAGGGGCGATGGGAAGAGATTGCATTTCTTTCAGGTTAGGTGGGGTTGGTTTAAGAAGATGGAGAGGATTTCAAAGAAACACACACACACTTCTAGGGCAGTCCTAGGTCATCTCTCCCTACTTTCTAATATTTCAGGGCCAAGATCTTAACTCAGCATGATCCTCCTTAAGATATATAGCCTCTTAATTAAAATAACATATATCTTACCGACATAAAGAGGGAGTGAGAAGTAGAATGAATTCTCAGGCTAAATAGCAGTTTATATATTATGTCACCTTTCTGCACACATAATTAAAATATCCAAGAAAAAAAATAAATCAGCAGTAACACCTGGGCAGTGAGCACACACTGCCGCCGTGCATTTCCAAAGCCCAGGCTGATGATGCCTTCTGATGCCAGGCTGCAGGCGGGGAGGAAGGGATGTTCCGTTCGGAACAGCCGTCATTTCCAGTGAGGCCGCCCCACCGCTCTCCTTGTCAAACAACGATGGAGCAACTCACAGATCCCCAAGCCCTGTAACACTGGTAACTCGTTCCATTCAGTTCAACAGAAGATTTCCCGTGAAATGCTAGAAGTTATCCTTTTTATTTGTGATGTTCAGCTTAAATCACAAAAAACCTGATTCCGTTTAAAAAACACGTAACATCTCTACCTCCTAAAACAAGATGCATATGGATGAAAATTTGACAAAGTTAATCTGGGAACAGGTTCTGCAGTTAGACCCTATTACTTAAGGACACAAGCATTGCCAATGAAGTCAGTAAGCAGAATAAAAAGGAAACATGATTTTCTTTATCTAAAAAACCCAGAATCTGATTAAGCACATGACTGAATGGGAGTTGGACATTTAACTCCATTCAAATCCTTTTAAAGTTTCACCCTGAAAGAACAGTAAATAATGGATCATACAGTGGCAGATAAGGAGGCCTGAAGTCCTGAAGAGTGGAATTTTGGCTCACCTGATGCTGCCTTGGATAAAAAAAAGAAAATATGTATTTCAGAAAGTGTCTGCAAGTACTTCACTGAATTTAGTCTTGAATAAATTTTATGGGTGAATTTCAGCGAGGCCTGGCACCTCTGAGAATTTCTGAATGTTCCAGCATCAGATTATACTTTTATCTTTTTATTAACATTCTGTTGTCATTCAAGCCTCAGATTCAACTTTAAATGTGGATTTATTTATTTATTTCAGGTCAACCACTTCCTTTTTGGCTTAAAATTTGAGAGTGAAACATAATTCATAAATTTTGGGGAAAGAACCATAAAATGACAGACTAGTCATAGGAATACTCAGCTTCCCAGTTTTGCCTGGGCAGAGAGCTGCCGAGATCCAAAAAAACCATTCTTGTGGGAAACAAAACAAAATAATCCGTACATGTGGCTGGCTGGCTGTGACCCACTAAAAAGAATTATTTACTTAAGCAAACCTAAAACTTACTTATGAGATGCGGGTTCAATTTTGTATATTAGAAAAATGTGTCAAAATGATAGGGAGCGCCCAGCCTACTAAAGCCCAGGTTTGCTCAAAATAAGCAAAAGCACACCAGTGTGTCAAGAGTCTTTCTTAAGAGAGCTCTGATCCCTGAATTAGAAATGAAAGAAAGCAAAGAAGTACCAAAAGACATTTTTAGCCTGAATCCTCTCTACCCTAATACACCCTAAAGTTACAGGAGCCTGTCGTGTTCTCAGATGGGGAGAGGTTCGAAGAAATCTTTGGTAATGCACAGGAGAAAACAACGGGACAAATCTCTACGATTTCAAACACTCCAGTTTGCTAAAGGAAACCATTGATTTCCATCCTAGTGACACTTATCAGGAGGAATGGGTAACAAAGACCATCATCTGCTATAGCCTAATGTCTACTGAAAAATATTCCACAAATGTGCACTGGAGTCGATTTAACTGGAAAAAAAACCCCAACCCCCCAAAAAACCCCAACAAAGGAGCAGAGGCAACTTTCACCATACTACCTGAAGAGCTTTCAGCTACCTAGAGCAATATACTGCTCACGTACGTACACACTCAAGGGAACCTGCCGATAGCTTTTTATATTGCAGAGCAATGGATATCTTAACACAGACTGAACATACAAGAACACAAATAGCACAGGGCATACCACAGCATCTCTCGATTTAATTTCCTTTTCCAGAATTCGCAAACAATCTTCATTTACGTGGTTTGACTGGAACTCTGGCATGGTTGGGGTGGAGCAGGGCAGGGCTTATTGGGCATCTAAAAACTAGGTTTGTCCGAAAATGGTCCTTTTGACAGATCCCTAGTGACTGATCCCTATTTTTGACGTTATAAATTGCTTACACGCACACACACACACAAAAAAAGCAACTCCTCCAAACACCATTTTGCTTTCAACATCTTTTGAAGGAACAGTGACTCCTCTCCAAACATCTATTGTATTAATCTACTGAACAGCTAAGCTATGAAGAGATGACTAAAACAAACAAGGACAAAATATGTGCAGTGAAGTACTGAACAGAGCTGTTTGCCAAAGTGTTTTCTCAATGCCCATATGCCATAGTACGCTTTTGCTTCTTACTCCTCATTAGATCCTCCAAGGCCATCTCACCACAATGCTGCAAACCCTCCCTCCAGCACTGTGCCCCGGTGCTCGTGGGCCTCCTGACAATGAAGGGGGTTTATGCGACACACAGGTTTCTGTTGGCAATCGAAGGACTCGTCTCATTCATTTATACAAAAGCCATCTGTCTTTCCTGAGCATTCCCAAGGAAACACGGCACCAAACCTCAACGTATCTTAGCTAAGGAACCATCCATGGCAGTTTGAAAGCAGTACAGCCATCTTGTAAACAAAGGTAAATTCAACAGCACTGCATCTGAAATGCAGGGCTAACTGGTTGCCATAAGGTGCATAGGGATATTTATATTTATGTAATCCAAGAGCAAAACGAGAGAAGATCAAATTATCTCCCTTTTGAAAATTTCTCTGTCTCAAACCTGATGAGATACTTTGAATCCCTCACCACCACTTAGTCTCCTCACCTTCTTACTGAAGTGATTAGATTTGAAATACAATGCACTCCAGTATACGATATTTGAGTCAACAGATAGACACATATAGAACATTAAAATTTTAACCTTTATGTTGGGGGCAAAAACATGAAGTTTGTTTTTCAGAGGTCTAAAAGTAGCTGCTTGTCATTCTTCCATCAGCAGAGTACACTTTTGAAAGAGTAAGCCACAATGCTTTGGAAGATGCACGGCGTACGCCAGACAATTCAACGTTAAGCCTGGCCCATGTCAGCCAGTCAATTTTCTAAAGGCTTTCCTTTCACCTCGGAGGTGCCCCCCTAGTCTAGACGCTACCTACTTTGGACTAAAACTCCACCTTCTGCCTGGAGGCGGGTCTCTAGACTCATGTAGTTCCACGTAGAAAAGGAAACAATTTCTTATTCCAAAAAAAGCTGAAACCATGTTTCCAACTGAAATTCCACCCTACCCCACACTCTCTGAAGTCAATAAAGCGGAGGAGAAGTTCTCAATTTTGTCAGGATTTCGTTCCACGACACTCAGCAGCCAGTTTGCTCTATGCAATTATAAACTCATCTCTATTTCACCCCAAAATGGCACTCAATCCTAATGCTAATCTAAGAAGCTTATCTGCAGCTATCTGCAGATATCTGAAGAAGATATCTGAAACACACAAAATGTCAATGCAATGACATCCATAGCATTATTCGTCTGTTCTGGCTGCTACAGCTCTCAAACTTATTCTATCTGTATGAGCAATATCGAATACAGCCTGCAAATGCTGAGCAAACTGTCAATACAGTTATAAAAAAGAAACAATATGAAAACTTAAAATGCAAAACCAAACACTATAAACATGTGGGTGGTTTTAAAGCACAGGTTTGTGCTGCTAAACCTGACGGGGTCACCACGAAGCCCTGGCAGATGCAGCTGGTCTGCTGTGCATTCCGCAGCGCACCAGTGAGAAAACATTGGACTGGAGCTGCATGGGAAGGTCACGGACCCCGATGTTTCATCACTAAATATGCCTATTGTCTACATCAAAATCATTTGGCAGAATGATTAAACACAAAAAAATCTGACTAAGAAAAACCATCAAGTTATGCATGAAAAATGAGATTATGGCATCAGAATGAAGGTCACTGCAAATATGCTGACCAGGAAATCACTTCAAAGTTAACCGCAATAAATGTGGCTTGGACCTGTTGCTTGAAAAATATGTAATTTTTATTTATGTTACATGCCCACTTTTTCTATGTTTACACTCCATAATTCAGGCTGAAAGGGGGGAGAGAGAGAGAGAGGTGAGAAGTCATCACAAGATGCCTCGTCAGGCAGAGAAATGAGCCCCCCCGTACATCTGGGAAATGACTGCCCTGGACTGTTATATACATACAGTTAACACATATGTAAAAACAAGAGTGGAAAACTACGGCAGCAATTAAGCCATGAGGATATGGTCAGGCACAATAAAAGGCCATAGAAATAAAGACATATAATAATCTTACACTTCAGACATGCATAATGTAATATCTTAAAACAAAATAGTACTGTCTCAGAAAGGTAATGTTTTTATTTTCTATACCAGCAAGGACTACCAATGCACATGACTTGAACAGCGACAACTTCAAATGTATCTTATGTCCTATTAGCAAGCAAGAGTTTGATAGCTTGTTAGGACACAGAGCAGAAACAACTGGAAAAGGTATTAGGGGAACGTGCAGCCCCACGTAATCCAAAGCAGGGTTAGAGGCAGCCTAAAGAATAAGGTGGTTATCGTACCTTCACTGGCAAGCAATCGCTTGCTTGATGCAACCACCAGCAAGTCATTCCAAGCCCTTTAGATGCAACTCCACCGGTTGCCACCACGATGCTGAGCCCGAGGCAGGAAAAATTATTTTGTACTTTTAAAATGAAAGCATCAGGAAACCAGACACAGCAATCACATTTTTACATTCCGCTGACCCTCAATTTAAAACCCTAAAAATAGTGTTTACATTTCTGGTGCAAAAAACCCCAGTTTCATCAAAAATTAAGCAAATTTCTCACTGACAAGCTGAAATACGTGACAGCGTTCAGAAGCGCTGCACCAGTGATCCCCTCCACCTGAGGAGGTCAGGGCCACGTCCTGCTCCAGCGAGAGCCCCAGTCCTCACCTACCACTGGGACGAACACAGCGTAATTCAGCCTCTTACGTTTAGTCCACGCTCTATGTTACATTTCAGTCTAGTAAAACCCAATGGTAGCAACAGCGGCTGCATGACCAACCCTAGCTCTTTGTGAAAAGTGATTTTAAAACTTTTTCACCTGCAAGTGGTCACCACCCCAACTAACAGGGCAGGCCCCACCGTTGGGTGGCGGCTCGGGACGCAGTGGAGGGACCCCAGCCCCTCAACACCCAAACCCCCACAGCACCAGCGCCTTCCCCAGCCCGCGCAGTGTGGCTGAGCGACTCACGGGGACGGGAGCGGGGTCCCTCGCTGCCGCCAGCGCTTCCGTGGGTGCAGCTCCTCCAGGGAAGCTGTGGGGCTGCCAGCCAGGCTCCTTCTGGGAGCGGGGATCCCCCTCAGGGCGGGCCCACTCCTCTGCACCCTCACCCAGAGGTCCTCCCCCTGCTCCTCCTCCGGCCTGACAGTTCACATGGCGCTGACCGGGCTCCTTCCCTCTCCACAGGGAGCTGGTTAACCCTTTCCTTGGAACGACAGCAACACCAATTTTTCCACCTAAGGAACCCCTGCTCCCACCGCCGTGGCCCGCCGTTGAGCTGAAAACAGCAGTAAGCACACGCTCCATGTCTGTACCTGCTGCTTTCTGCCTTAGCTTTCCCTGCTAGACAGCTCTGGTTCAAAAAAAAATACCCCTTACAACTAATAAAGCGACCTTTCAACAGCTTCTCCGCCATTACTTGTTCTTCACAATAAGCATTATTTTCCATCTCTCTAAAGCTGCTAGTATAAGACCAGTTTTACAAAGTTATAGTCATTTACTATATAATCCTCAGCTACGTAAAGGTTGTTGCCACAGAAAATTAGTTGGCTCAGGCTTTCATCCAGTGTTTAAAAAAATGTCTACTTAAGTCTGCAAATTGAAATATAACATCTAATTAGGAATCCTCTGATTAATCATTATTCTTTGCCATCTTGGATATTGCTTTGATAAATGAGGCTTAGGAGTCTTACGAAGTCTTAATTACCAATATTCCAGATGGCTAAGAGTTGTATACAGAGTGTCTCTGGGTGCGTGGAGCAACAGAAGACATTTATATTATTTATTTGTGGCTCTAAATGCATACCCAGGTCACCTCAACCGCGATGGCAGCTGTGCAAAGGAACGAGGTGGCATGTAACGCACCCCGCACTTCTCATGAAAGCCATTCGGTATCGAGGGTTACCAGACTGCTATTACGCTCAGGAGATGAGGTGCCAGAGCCTAAAATTAGAGGAGACTGCTGTTGTCACCACGGCAAGCTGTAGAGCCCGGTGAGACGCCCCCTGAGCTACGCTCAAAGGCGGCATTTTGAGCACACCCGAAGCACCACGTACCTAGAGGAAGCCCACAAGCCCTTGTGCCAAACAAAATAAACTTTCCCTTGCAGGGAGGAGTGAGCGGAATAACAATGTGATAAAGCACCGTGGAATATCAATGTGGAACAAGCGGCTGTCCTCACAAGGATTCAGGTGAACAAGCCTGCCTCACTTCTGTGAGCAGATGTGGCACACACCTCCCGCCAGCCGTGGTGCGGAGCACAGCAGCCTGCGGTCCCTAAACCAGCAGACCCATCTCCCTGCCCTGCAGCGCCATGGGGAGCTGCTCCTGCCACAGCGATGAAGCTAACTGCACTGCCGAGCAGCTTCTGATGCTTTTTTAAAGTTATTAATTAATTATTTCTGAGACATCCTCCCGTGTCTTTTGATACTGACTTCAACTTTTAAACACCAACTACCAAATCGTTTGCATCCCCCCTCTCCCGCCCAGGTTAGCATCCCCACAGCTGGTGAGCACAGCAATCCGCAACAAGGGCACCAACTGCCCGGCATCCTGGTCTTCAGCAGTGGGAAAAGACAGGTATCGAACAATACGAACTATACCCATAAAAATTAAACTGCACATAAACCCATCATCTGACAGATGCAAGTGTTTGGGTACCTGATGAAACCATCTCTGTATGCGGTGTGAGAGACAAGCATAGAGCAAATCAGAAAATGCGATTTTGACCTCGAGCAGCATTTGTCGACTGCAGGATTTCACAGAACCGTACTTCTACTAGTCTGACTCACCAAACCTCTTGGAGAAGGCAAATGGTCTCAAGTACCTTTCAAAATCAGCCAGTTATTACTAAGTTTCATTTGGGAAGACTTTTGCTCATAACAAGCAGTTGGATGAAAGGAATACAATCTAATTTGGGGACCATATTTTTGCAGACAGAGATGGATCTGCTCAATATATCTCCTCTGTAAGCCTAATTACTCTTTCTACCTTATAGGTCAAAGAAATAAAAGCAACCTTATCTGTAGCTAATCTGTGTAAATTTTAGTGCAGCTTTCTTCTGAGGATTGCCCTCTTCACACCCCGCGCGCACAGACTGCATCTTTCGGTGATGCACGAGAGCCAATCCACACAGCTCACTAGTGTCTTTTGTAGCAACCAGATGGGAAGGAGCACCTGGGAAAATCTTTCCCAAATCAGTCTGTTTAACATAATCTATCCTGGAAAGAAAACCTCCTGTAACTCTTAATTTCACTTAACCAAGTAGAGCAGAATATAACCGCAGCTGCCAAAGCCTTTGGCAAGGCTCGTTTCTCTGCAGTCAGTGATTTGCAATCTGATAGCATCTTACAGACTCAGGAGTTTTTTCAGGCATTTGCAGTACAGCTCATGTAGACAAATACATTTATCATCTGGGGGTGAGAATGTTGGAGAGGGTATTTTACTCAATGTAGAGATTATTTCAGATTGACTTCTCCTAACCTCACCTGAAAATGCAGCAAACCCATTTCCATGGTTCCTGTCTGGGGATTACCAGACCTTACAGAGTTCCAAAACGCAGATAATAAAGCTCCTCCGGCTGACTCTAAACATTGCTATCTTTTCCCTTTTACGTCTTCAGATAACTTGTTACACGGACAGAGAGAATCTGTGCTGGAAATCCGAATCAAACATCCTTCACCACGTAAAATAAGTATTTAGGCTGTCACCTAAAAGTTACTCCTTTTAGCTTTGTGGGAAACTCAATCAAATCTGACAAGTCTCCATGTAGGAGGCAAGACCAGAGTGAAGATTTTTCCCAAGTTTTATGTATTTTTGGCTGATGGAGACAAAAAATCAGCAACAAAGGTTACGAAAAATATTTTATGCAGCTGCAGTAGAGTCCAACACAATCCAGCCGTGGAATTGCAAGCTTACAAATAAACCTGCAACAGGTTTGCGTAACCCAGAGCTCAGATACCTTAAATTCAACAATGCATTACACATTCACCAGGGCTAACACCTCATCAAAATTCAGTTTTAAACCTTCAAATTACAAAATCCCAATGCAAATTAAGGAGGTTTACTCACACAGGTTACTTTCCGGTAAATTTGAGCAGCATTCTGGCATTCTGAGTAAGGGTATTCTGAGGTAGCCATTTCCAACATGCACATTCCAAAAGCATAGACATCCACAGATTCATCGTAGTGTTCCTCATACATTTCCGGGGCCATAAATTCTGGTGTACCTACACAGACATGCACAAAACCAATATAAATTTTCAGTGAAGTCTAAACGGCTTTAACCACAATCTTTTTCACCTATAAGTAGTGTGCCCATTACAGCTGTGTAAGGACGCACGCAAGATTATTTCAAAAGAGGGAAGTAACTAGAATAAGCTCAAGCATCCTCCGGAGAAGAAGCCCAAAGTCAGCACACACGCTTACATACCCATGGTTCACCGGTAATAACAACATGGGGGGGACAGCAAAAAAAGTATCAAAATTCCAAAAACAAAGAAGAGAATGAGATATGGCACATTGCCTGACCGTACTGGAAGTCACAAAATGGTTTCTTTTTTGGGGTGGATAGAGGGATGCGTACAGGCTTGTGGAGGTGAAAAGGAAAGAAGAAACGAGAACCTTCACTCTCGTTTTTATCAATGCAAATTTGCATTTCTTTTCCTCCAGAGATACATAGCAACCACCCGGCAGACAGACAGCACTTTGAAAGCAAGCAGTATCACAAATCACCTACAAAGTCACGCACAAAACATTAAACATAATTCTGTCACTGGTTTAGTGGGACAAATCAATGAGGCTACTCACAGAATAAGGTCCTACTCAATGGGGATTAGGGTGTCAGAAATCTGACGCAATCAGATAAATATTAAGTGAAGCACTGTACTTACTGCTTCACAACGAGAAGTTGCAGCTTTATGACAAGCAGCGACTTACAACGCCTGCAACGTTTGCACAGCAAGCTACTCTGAAACGTGTGGTCTTATAAAGCAAAAGGGAAAAAAATTAACACTTAGGTAATTTATTCCAGGAACTGTATCTTGTAATGTAATTTATGCTTAGGAGTCAAGATTAATTTATTTCCTTTTTACATTTAGAAAAGATGAAAGAAGAGAGATCGATGCAGTCATGCGTTGCGAGAGAGGACCAGCGAGCTGCGAGTACCGGGATGCCAAAAGGAGGGCGAGAGCTCTCAGACCACACGAAGGAGCCGGACAAACTCTGCCCGTCAGCCAGGCAGCAGCTGCCTTGGCGCCCAAACTGCGCCCAGAGCCGCGCAGCAACCTGGCAGGTCCCTGGGCTCTGTGTGATGGCATCTTGACATCAGCAGCAAAAGCACAAATGTAACTAAAGTAACAAATACTGGGAAAAAATAGTTCTCGCATATCTTTAGGGATTTGAGGTAAGCTTTTCTTTTTTTTTTTAAGGGCAACATAAACAGCATCTCTCAAAATTCAGTAAAAACTCTGCTTTATTCTCCGGTCAATAAAAACTCTGCTTTTGGGTTTTTTCCGAAGTAGACTTGGCCTAACTCACAAAACAAGCTTCAGCACAAGCATTTATTTTGCAAAATGAATTTTGCAAAATTCGGGATCGATCTCTCCCCTTGTGTCCCTTCTGCCTCAAAGACACTCAATTCCTTCAGGCTTTGCACATCAGCCAGACCCATGTCATGAAAGCTGAGCTTAACTTAGCGCCTGCTCTTAGCGTTTTGCTCCCAGCTGTCGCACAGGCCGCAATGGTTAACAACTGCCAGATAGGGAACGGTTTTTGGAGCTGCTACCTTGTCTTAGAAGGAACAAGACTCAGGCTGGAGCGAATCTCATGAATTATGGAGCATTTAAAGCAAATCTGAAAAAGTGATAGCTATAGTCTAAGAAGCAAATGAAATTCTTGACACCATTCCAAAATAGCATGAAAATGACATTTCCCCCCATCCCTTGGGGGTGGGAAGGAATACATGCAAGCATTCTTTAACAAAACAGACCACCTAGACGTAAAGCTGCTCAGCATCTATTCAACTCCTCTTGGCAGAAGGCGTTTTGCCCTGGCTCAACTCCCTGCAGAGATACACCGCAAGGTCAGATGAGCATCAGCGATGGCACGATCACAGCAAGGGAAAAACTGGACCTCAGCCATGCTGACTTCATTCCGTTCAGACCGATGTAAAATTGCAGCTCCTAATATTCCTTTAAAGCTAATACATCTGTGGAGGGGGCAGAATTACTCATCTCACCAGCGTTTCCAAGCCCTCCTAATTCCTTCCTTGGAGCAGCACTACTCATGAAAACGATAAGCTTGGTTATATCGCCAAAATGAATGCGGACACCTTGCCAGCAACCTGCAGCCCTTTTCAGTACTGAATTTCTTTTAGACACAAGCATGCTTTGACGGAGTTGTGGTAACAACTGATTTTACAAAAATTTGTATTGCTACTACTGATATTATTCCCAGTATTGGTATTACTGATATTATTCCATTATGTCCCACGGACAACTGTTATACTGCCAAAAAAAAAAAAATGTGTAGAAATACTGACCCTCACTGGAAAAAGCCCCACTAATTACTAGAAGTTAAAAACTAAACTTAACAGATAGAAACCAACATGATTTCTCTAAAATCAACAAGGTTAAGCAGACCCACAGTAGCCAAGCACACGTCCAAAATTTCTATCATTTAGATTTCAACAATACGGGGCTCCCTAAGCATTAAGGTCAATATTTTTCTACAAATAATTGTAAAGAATTACAGTCTCTGAAAATTTGAGATGCTAAAATAACTATTTAGGCAACTACTGTCTGGAAGATAGGATGCTATTTTCATATATAGTAAGGGAACAGTGGTTGTCACTATCAGCTTGCTAACTCTAATTACCGAAAATCTGATTTCTATTTATATTGTGAGCTGAAATACGACTACGTACATGGTAACTTCCCCCGATTTCAGCACAATTTCTCAGGAATTTGCAGCTTCCTAGACCCATCACCTACAGAGCTGAATGAGGGAGATTTGCTATGGAAGCTTGTGTAAAAAAAAACCACAAAACGTTGGAGAATTCAGGAAAACATTACATTTATGCAGAAAACATTACACACAACTTTTGCAAGGAAACGATGTCTTTCGACAGCTGTTCCGAAAACATCCTCCCAGTTCAAGCAAACCCAAGTTCTCGCACTCCTCCTGCAGGCACCCCCTAAGGGCATCAGCTATTGCGTTTCCTAGCGCAAATTTCTTTTATTTGGTACCTCCTGATTTTTAATTGCAGATGTCATTTCATGCAGAAAACATTACACACAACTTTTGCAAGGAAACGATGTCTTTCGACAGCTGTTCCGAAAACATCCTCCCAGTTCAAGCAAACCCAAGTTCTCGCACTCCTCCTGCAGGCACCCCCTAAGGGCATCAGCTATTGCGTTTCCTAGCGCAAATTTCTTTTATTTGGTACCTCCTGATTTTTAATTGCAGATGTCATTTCAGGGGACGAGCTCTGCAGTCGTCTGCAGAAGCAGCCTGTTTTGCTGATGCCCCAGTAAACGGGGAGAAGCTGTTCCAGCCAGACCAGCTCCACTATGACCTCTCCGCAAAGGAGAAGCCCAGCTCCACGGGGCACTACTGCCTCTCCCTTTGGCAAAAGCAACCGTCCCTATCCCGGCATCTCTGGAAGCAGAAGACTTCCCAGGGGCTTTCCCAGGCTTCTGCAGCACTCCCTCGTTAAGGAGAGAGCAGGGCATCCTTTTTTGGCCCTCTTCCCCCTCTTCTCTGCCCGGCAGCAGCACCAAGCCTGTTCTTAGGAGGACGATGCACACAAGCTGCTGAGAACCCTTGCTGCTGTTTTTGAAGGAGAGAGGAGAAGGATTTGTGGATACCAAGTAACAGTTCAATTAAAAAACAAGCAAAAAAAAGTGTTTTACCATTGTGATACAGAAGGAAGGAGAAGAGGAAGTCATGATACCATTTCCCACTGATGGAGATTTTTATGATGATATAAAGGGAACAGTCACAAACCCACTTTAATCTCTACTACCAATCTAAAAGTGAAAAAACCACTACGGCAAAATGTGAAGGAAAGATACTAAAAAGACAAGCAGCATACCAACAGAAGGAAGGCAAGGAGAACAGGAGGATTACCTATTACACTTTTGGCAAACGAAGCTCTCTTGAGGGTTGCCAGACCCAAGTCTCCTATTTTCACAGATCCAGTTGGTCCAGTAATAAAAATATTGTCACATTTCAAGTCTCTGTGAATTATTGGCGGAGTTCTTGTGTGCAAGAAAAGAAGACCCTTCAGGATTTGCCGGCACCAACTACGCAGGACTTTTGGTTTCATCACTTTAAATCTCTTCAGATACCTACAGCACAAACACACACAGAAGTGCACATAAAGAAAACAAAGTGTTATTAGAGATTCTAGGGGCTTTAACAGCTGAAATTCCATTCTGGATAAAAGCCCCTTATTAGATGCCATAATAGTAGCTCAGAAATATCACAGAATTGAAAGAAATAGATCTTTTCAAAGGAGGAATTAGAACATTCATTTTTTAGGGACGAAGATAATAAGCATTTTTGGTGCAAATACAACCAAATATTTGTAAGTCTAATACTACAGCAATTCACTTCATGCAGAGAACAGCTTTACAATATGTTTCGTATATTCAAATCGGAAGAATACTGAAGTTTAATTTTAACCACAAGACTCTGACCACCTGCATTTTTTCCATTTACCTAAAACACTGACTGGGAGGGTACATTTTGGAAAAATGTAAAACCTGCATATGCACTGGCAGAGTAGCACACTGGATATATGCAGTGATGAGCACTGCTCCCATTGGGGCTGAAAAATCTGTTCCAGAATTCATGCCAACTGTTTTATATCAATCTTAACAAGATCGTCAGTACCAAAAGCTATTAATTAATATTGTTTAGCAGATAACCTAGAGCACCTTCTGCTTCAAAAAGAGATTCCACCATTCAAGTGCTATTCTATCCAAATTTTATACCAAAACATGCAAATACAAGCACAAAAGCAATCAAAAAAACCACGCCTTGACAAATTAAAACATCGCAGGCGGGAGATGAAGCACGCCAGAGCGCTGCTTCTAGTTGTGTAACTGAAACAGGAAAGCAGGGAAAGACAAAATTCTTCCTGTCAAATCAATGCACTGCAGACGTGGGGACAGACACCAGAGAACAGCTCCATTTTTTTCTTTTATCTGGAGGTGCCTTTTTTCAGAATACGAAAGTAGGATTTTTCTAAAAATTTCCATCGCTATTCTTAGCCTCCTCACCAGGAGCGCAGTACTTACGTCTTCAGCGTTCCAGAGGTCATCAATTCAGTAACCAGCACGATGCATCTTTTGCCTTTTACACAGGATTCCCAGAAGTCGTAAAATCTCACAATGTTTGGATGCTGTAGACCTTTCAACATTTCTGCTTCCTCTTTAAATCTCTGCCTCTCTACTTTAGTGAGTTTTCTGTCCTATAATCCAAAAGGAGACATTATTAGTAGTGAACAGACAAAAATAAATAAAGGCACTGCATGGCTTGGGTATGCAGAATTTTAGATATATTTCATGCTTGTATCAAAAGCAATTATAAAATCTTTTATGTAAGAGATGAGCAGCGTGTACAAACTAGGGCACTCGCCTTAAATCCAGTGCCAAGACAACAAAGACTTGTGGCCGAACAGAGATGCCTGTGCTACGCTGGGCTACATGACAGCATTCATATTTCAGGGAACATAAACACACGCGTGGCTTGATGGATCAACACGCAGCTATTTACTTCTTGCTTTGGTTTTGTGAGGCTCGTTATCAGAGAGATGAGCACACACAGGATTTCATTTCCAGGTAGCAATGTCCTCACAGCTAAGGCGCTGCCAGCTTCGCTCACCACCCTCGGTGACTTACGGCAGTGACCGCCAGGAACCAGGCTGGGCTGTTCAGCCCATCTCTAGGGACAAATTAAAACCATACCCCCCTCCAAAAAAAAAAAAAACCAAAAAAAAAAAAGCCACAAAAAACCAACAACCCAAACCTCCTTAAACCTCCCCCCCCCCAGCAAAACTCTCTAAATTTTTCTATTTGCTCTTCTGCCTAATTTTACAGACTTCTGTTAACAAAGGAAGGATTTGAAGCTGTCCTTCAGCCTCTTCTGTAGGCTGCATATTGACCGCATGGAAATACTTATTCTTTCAGATTAGAAATGTGAGGAATGTCATCTTCTACTGCTCTGTTTTTCCTAGAGAAATGTAGGAGCGTTTACGAGAAGCTCCAGGCTGTGCAGTGACCCTGCGCGGAGCCGTGCAGCCCATCTCCTCCGGCCCTGGGTCAGCGGAAAGCTGCTGGGTGTCTGCACCCGCTAACAACACGGAGATGGACCCTGACAACTCGCAGCTCAAATGCACGCTCTAGCCTCCCTAGACCATGTGAAAGAGCAAAACGGGAGTTTTGCCAAAGACCACAGCATCACCATCGGGTTTGTGTCCCCTGGCCGGTTGGTCGGGCTGGGAGCACTTTGCTGCCCTAGAAACGAAGCTTTTTCATTCTTTAAAAGGCACAATTGTGTAACTGTTCTTACAGAAGCAAAGGCTCACAAATCGCTAAGATTAATTAGTTCATATTTTAACCTCAGACATTTTCCTTTTCTTGGCATGTTTATAAGACCATATACATAGTGAATTGAATCGGCACCCAGCGTATTTGTAACCGCGATGCAGAGGGATCAGGCGCTGCCATTTTGATAGCCTGCCCTTCTCTGCGATCGCAAAGACCTCGATACACGAACAAGAACTGCCGTGGCTACAAACAAGTCAGCTTTACACAGTGGCTTCACTGGAGGAAAACCCGGGTTGAAACAACGATTCTTTGGCTCTGCTTGGAAGACAGAAAACCTTCTTCCCCAGCAGCGTGTGTGCATGCGTGGGGGGAGCATTTCCATTTTACACCGTGGCTGCCGAGGAGGTTCTCAGTTTTCTTTACGTTTTATGGCCGGCATCAGAGCTAACGTTGCCGCGAGCAGCAGCAGCCATCGGCTGGCACAGTGGGGTGCCCGGCGGGACGGATGCCTGGGTCCCAGGGGAGCAGGGAGCACCCCATGCCCAGCGGTGCTGCGGGGACAGGAGGGCAGCAGCATGCTGAATGCCGGCAGCCGACAGCAAGGCAGGACTGCTGCTGCTCTGTAGCAACTGTGGTTTTGTAAGTTTAAAAAAAAAAAAAAGGCAAGAAAAAAAAAAAAAAGCAGGCTGTCTAATGAGCCAGGACAGAAGAGCCTGAGAATTGCTTTCAAATCCATCACTTCTTCCCCTACTGCTGAGTTTCCTCTTAATTTAAACCCTGTAGAATAAATCAGACACACTGCTATTAAGGAGGAAAAGGAGCAAGTCCTTGTGTGAGACAGGAAGAGCAGAGTGTGGGCTAGCAGAGAAAGGAAAAGGCGGCAACGCAGATCCAGCAGTTTTTAAAAACCTTCTAATTAAAAGAAGTAATACCATAGCCCTTGACTCTCATTGCCAGACTTCTGAGCACTGTGAGAAATTTTCCACTGCTACTTTAAGGGTAATTTTTTTAAAATATCCATCAGACACTGCAGACAATCATATTCTGTATATCCCACATACTATGAGGGCCAGATCATTTGGACTGCTGTCTGAATTCTAAGTGCTACAATGGCAAGCTGGGCAGCAAACTGATTTTGGAAGACAAATACGTGTTTTATCTAACTACAGCGGAAAGAATCTGGATTTTTTTTTTTTTTTCCATCAGAATGATAGCTGAGCAACTTTCTGAGGAGAAAGCCTGGTGCAGTACCAACACTTGCGAGGTGAGGGCAGGGAAGATGCTGTAAGGGCTCACACAACCTTCTCTAAATCCCCCCAGATAACCTAACACGTGAGTTGTTGGCCAAAGCATAAACTGTTTCTGAAAGGGCTTAACAGTTGAACTGTTTTCTACTCTGAAGCAGCAAAACCACTCACTTAACTGCGTGACTCACTCAGGGTTTATCCAAACCCACAAAACCTTTACTGGGGTCACTTATTCCCCATGATGGAATCCACACAAGGTGAAATGACCTTATGCTGAAGGGTGTAAGGCTGAAACAACCTTAGGACATCAACTTTTAAGATGGGGAACAGGATCCTTTGGAAAGGTCACGCCAAAGAAAGCTAAGCCACTTAACTGGAATTAAGGCATCACTTTGCATAACCCAAATTTATCAAAATTTGGGGGAACGAAGCGAGTTTCCAGATTCACCCAAGGAGTCATGAGCCACCACGCTATCTGCAGCAGCAGATGGTCACCACATCGTACGGCTGAATGAGGAAGCTCAGGGATGCCGAGTTATGCGCTGGCCCTGCTCCTCCATAGCTTCACAAGCGCAGCAGCAGCATCACGCTGAGTCAACAAACAAGCTCCTTGCTCAGTCTGCTCCACTGCATTTATGGCCCTATGGCTATTCTGAGCTGCCTCAAGATTTGAAACGTGGAAAACGTTCTTCTCAATGTGATCCGAGAGATATCAGAATTAGTCTGCAGATATCTACACGCTTCATCTCCTTTTAAGGCATTCACACTTCTTGGCTCTTTCCTCGCTAGGACACAAAGTCTTGGCTCAGGAGGCGACATTGTAATTCCGTTTCAAATAATTGAAAGGTTCTCAAGCCTACTACTTAGCACCGAGGTTTCTAAAATAAACTTCAACCTTCAAAAGTCCACAGCAATTGTGCTGAGCTGGTTCAACTTTTCCAGAGTAACTGAAGTTAAACAGAACCAAGCAAGAAGCGAGACAGCTGCTCAGATTGTGTTACTGCTAAGAAAGAATCTACAAATTTAACTTGTTTCATCGTCTTAATAAACCTTGAAGAATAGACAGCTCAAAAGGCTTCAGTACAGACTTTGTCAGCGGCACCGCCGGAATATGAGCACCCGAGGGAGCGGACACAACAGCAACGAGCTTTCTCAGAGCTTTAGATGTAGCAGCTTTGCAAATGCACACACAACGCAAACTCATCCATTGCCTGGTACTTTACTGCAATGCCACGACTAGAATCACGCCCAGCAGCATCGAAAGCACAAAGTCATACAAACACGAGGGCAGACAGGAGACTGCATCTCCTGCCACGCAGCCTGGTTTAAAAAGGCATTCCCCAGGGCAGCCACGCTGCTCTGTGGTCGGCTGCCTTAACTCTGTGACCAGAATTTGCTATTTTATTATTACAGCTACTCCAGGCCCCTGCGGTGAGGTGTTTACGGAGTGCTTCTGCAGGAATAAGCCCCACGAGCACGCGTTGGTGTGCACCTCAGGCACAAGTCTCACTCACACGGGCTCCACGGTCTCACCTTGCATATAGATAAATAAGCATTAACTGGGTTGGGGTTATACAACGTGTCCTTCACTATGAAAGGCAATCTGACAGATAGATAGTAAGCAAGTGGTAAGAAGAGGTTATAAATTGTAAGCTACCTTTTCTTCATTAATTTTCCTAGCTTTCCTGCTGGAAATCAGATAACTGCATGGTTGGTTTTAAGCATCAAACCACTGAAAGCTATTCGCATCTTTTTGGAAGGAAGAAAATAATTCCCAATTAGTACTTTATATCCTCGCTAGTGGTAAATTACACACCCATTCAGAGAGACTGGAGTAAAACAACATTTGCAGCAGGAAGCTACATTAAAGTGAATCCTCTATCGTTAATCGTATTTCTGCTAATCTAACATGCACGTATGCTCGCTGCTTCTCCTTACTCGTTGCAGGCAGGACATATACCCCTCTTTGTTAATATAAAATCTATCCCTTTGTTAAGTTCCTTAGCGGGGAATAACAGCAAAGATTGGAATCAGTAAGTAAATGCGTGAACAAAAAGCTTACGAGTTAAATTTCTGGAACGACACCCAAATTAGCAGCAGGAACATGTTCCGTTAGTCATCTCCAAGCATCATTTCCTCCAGGTTGTAACATATGGGCTCTGACTAAGTCTCTGAAATTTCTACAAGCAAAAGACTGGCTTTCACCTGAGTCTAAGAAAGATTAATAACTGAGGTCAAGTTTCTTGCCTACTTACTTACTCCTTGGCCTAAGGACTTCTACTGCTGTGTCCAGCTAGTCTATAAATATTGGGTGGGTTTTGGTGGGTTTCTTTAAACACTTTAAGTAACATAGCTGTATTTACTGATGGCTATTGAATTTTGCCTAACGGGACAAAGTCCTCATTGAGGAACAGAGTAAGATCTGTCTGGGTAAGATGGCAAGCAGGAGCAGCAGGTCAGCAAGCGAGGGAAGGGCTCACCTCTGTCATGCAGAAGCTGTGACATCTCTCACCCATATCAGTGGTGAAGAAAAGGAAACTGGACAGGCACTTCTGACATGGGAACAGAAATCAAGTATCTAAATCAGCAGAATGAACATCTGTTCATACCATCGCTTCTTCACATCTGTGTGCCAAATCTGTACATTTGCTCACGCACCACAACTACTCTTCTAA